AGGGAAAGCAAGTCCAAACAGTAGGGCTTTCAGAGATTCAAGAAGATGTTATAATTTTCCTCTATTTCTTGATCTAGAGCTGATCCTACCTTCAGAGGAAATGAGATATCAGAGGCCTGGATCTAAGAATCCACAGAAATATGAGTCAGGGATAAAATATTTGACAACAAACCATTCTTTCAGGAAATAGTCAGCTCTTGCAAAGCATAGTGGACTTGATGTTTCTGCTCTTTAGGTGTTCAAACTGGGATAGAGTAGCAAAACACAGATTAGCTTAACTATTTGAACGGTTAACGATTGAGACTTTTAGAGCCATAGAGAGTGCAAGAGTCCTGAAAAGGCTTCCCTTTACATGGACAACTACTGAGATGTAGTCGACTGCTCATTTACATGGAAGAGTCATTTCCAGTCAGTGGACGCCCGGCTGCAATGGGTCTCTTCCACAGTATCCCTTGTAAGTTTGAGGGGAGAAGGATCACAGCATTGCAGCCCTCAGCTGCAGTGCCAGAGTCTCCTAGTAGAAACTTAGTCCAGGGATAAGTTGACTTTTGCCTTTTTACAGGAATATTTAAACTAATCTTGTAAGGCTAAGGGACTAAAGAGCCAAGAATAGGCACCTTAATTAGCAGGAAAGCAGCAGCAAAATAAGTTTAAGAAGGGGTAGAATCAAAAGGATTTTGTAGTGATTTAGGAGAGGAACAAAAGGATTAAAAAAAATAGCTACTCCATTCTTCTGTCTGTTCTTTTTATTAATGAGACTAGAAATAAATGGTTATTTAGCCAATTGAAACACAGTGCCATAGGATCTGGGGGAGGCTACAAGGGAGAGCAAGTATGGCACGAATAACTTCTTGGGGCTTAATGTGCTTTAAAACCTTTTTGCATGGCTGCCAAAGTTCCATCCTGCAAATAAGCATTTGCTTGCTTTTCAAGACTAAGGAAAATGTAGAAAGAGTAAAGCACTTTTGAAAACTAAAACTTTCTCCCTGCATTCCACATTCACCCTACTGTGTTCTAATACCAATGGCAATTAATTCAGCTGGAAGCCCCAGGCTGCTGCTTTTCTTCCTTCTCTCTCTTTGGCACCCCTAGGACCCCAATAAATTTGGAATGGAGAGGTCTGGATTGAAATGCACTGATGCTGGTATTTCTTCCCACAACTGCTGGTGCTTTATTTTTTTTAAAAAAACTTCAATACATGACAAAGCCAGAGAAAATTTAATTCAAAGAAACAGAAACCTAAAGACAACTGAAAACTTCTAGTATGTAAATTTATACCAAAAATGACCCACTAATGTTTCTCAGATACATATATATGTACAACATTTTTTTCTTTCAAAGGACTAAAACTATATTTGGTAGAATTAAATATAGGTAAAAGAACTAAAAACAGGACAAACCTCCACATACCCATGTTTTCCTTTGATAAGGCATCATCTGAACAAACATTTTCAAAAGAGTATTTTAAAATAGCTTTCCTAGAAAAAAAATTTGACACATTTAGTTTCAAAAGGTCAATCATGTATATTTAAATAATCATCCATGTATATGCATTGGTAATTGTAAATTATGAATATTTATTTCTTTATCTTGAAGTACTTTTTCTTGGTTGTTTTATACTGTAAGGCAGCATGATACTGTGAAAAACCAAAGGGAAATAACATTTATTTGAGCTCACACTAGGTGAAAAGCACTAATGATCTACACCAAACATCTAACACAGGCTTTTTTATGTAATCTTCCCCCCAAAAAGCTACTAAGTAATTGTTACTTCCATTTTATAAAGAAACTGAGGCTCTGAGAAATTGAGAAATTTGACCATAAAGGTAAACGGTTGAGCATGACATAACTAAATTCTGTCTGACTGCAAAATCCATGGTTTCCACTACACAATGTTGCGAATTTAGTCAGAAAACATTTGTTCAAGTGCGTTTTCTCTAACCATAAGATCTTGAGAAAGCCACTTAACTTCTCTAAGCCACAAATTCTTCATCCTTTAAATGAAGATGATTAAAATATACCCCCTATCTATTTGATGGGGTTACTGGGAAGCGTAACTGAGATAAGGCAGTGAAAGTCCTTTTTAAAATTTTAATTATTCATCTTCTGAAAAAGGACAAAGAAGGGATGGATTAACACATTAAAGTCAGTCTTTGTCTTTGAGTAGAACTCCTTTTAACACAGCACTGATTACCATTCATTAAAAATAAACAAACAAACAAACAAACAAACAAACAAACTCTATGGCTGGTTCAATGATAAATACTAAAACTAGTCATTGGTGGCTTCTTAGATCATTTTAAACTAAAAGCTCCTTAGATCATTTTAAAACTAAAAACCCACTTTTCATCTGGCTGCTCACATGATGTTAATCTTTGAAAATTCTGGTTCAACATATTTCTATAAATATAAAACTTTCTCCATACTTCTAAGACTATTACTTATTTTATTAATTCTTTTAGAAAATTTTAAATATAATGTTTCCCTAGAAAAACAGAACCAAGAATCAGGGGGAAATGTCATATAATAAGTACATCCAATACACATATTTCGATTTTATCATAATATTTTTTAATTTAAAAAAACATACCTCTTCTTTTTTCTAAATTTGGACCTTTTCTTTTCAGTATTATTTTTGGAAACTTGCATCTGTAAGATAAAAATAACAAAAAGATGAGTTAGTTCATATGGCACTAGATGAGCTCAGTACAATAGTAGATCCCATATGGTCCAAGTAAGTTACCCTAGAAGAAAAACTCTGGACTATAGCCCCAAACAACACCTGTAACTCTAAGTCAACCACTTCACACTCACTGCAACTACACTGATTTGTTCACCTTCCAGGAACGGCAGGCTGATCCAGTATGAATGCCTATCCCCTATATCTACTACCCGTATCTTACCTTCACGAGTACATAAAAATGCTAAAACAACTTTTAAGTTTTAATACATACATGACCTCTAAAGAAAGAAAAAGAAATATTCAGATGCCCAAAACATGTGTGATGCAAAGCTTTATAGGTGGGCGCTGACATGGTGAAGGCCCACAAGAAACTTATACCAGGCAATAGGGCTTGGGACTGGAGTGTTAATGTCTAAGCAAAGACAAGATGATGAATGTGGAGAAATTAGAACCCTCATACATTGTTGGTGGAAATGTGAAATGGTGGAACCATTTTGGAACACAGTTTGACACTTCCTCAAAACGTTAAATGTAGAGTTATCCTATGACCCAGCAGTCCGCCCCTAGGTATATATCCAAGAGGAACAAAAACATATATCCATGCAGAAGTTGTATATGAATGTTCATAACAAAACTTCCTTAATAGTTTCTACTTTCATAAAAAGTAGAAACAACCCAAAAGCCCATCAATAGATAGATAATAAGTGGTATATCCATACAGTGGAATATTATTGAGCCTTTTAAAATAATGAAGTACTGACACATACTGCTACATGGATGAATCTTGAAACCATTATGCTAAGTGAAATGTAAGAAAAGTCAGACACAAAAGGCCACATGATTCCATTTATCTGAAAGGTCTAGAAAAGGCAAACTCATAGAGACAGAAGTAGGACAGTGGTTGCCAGGGGCTGGGTAGAGATGAGAAATGGGAACTGACTGCTAATGGGTATGTGGTTTCCTTCTGGGGTGATAAAATTTTTTTTCTAAAAATACTGGTATTAGTTGAACAACTGTAAATATACTAAAATCCACTGAATTGTATACATTAACAGAGTGAATAAATTATATTTCAATAAAGGTATAATTTTAAAAAATCTTAGTGACATGGATAATTGAAAGTAGGCAATAGAATACAATATATCAACAAAAGAAACCCAATATAGCAATATTACTGTTAGAAAAAAGCAGATGTTAAGGCAAAATCCATAATCAGAGATTAAAAGCATTATAACAGTCCCAAATCAGTACACACCTAAAATCTTAACCTTAAAATACACTAAGTGAAAAGGTTACTACAAGGGGAAATAAGATTAAGGTAACAAAGTGCAAACTACTTCATAGTTATTAACAGAAAGTAATACTGTTAAACAACTACTATAATCAGGAAGATTTGTATTGGAGATGGGTTCCTTTTCTACTTTGTTAAATATTCATATCGGCCAAAATGAACTCGTAGGTATTGGCCAAAATGCCCTGTGCTTTCCTGCCCCAAGCTTTTGATAAAGTAGGATGTGGTGAAGAGCACCAAAGTAAGAATGACAGGATCACAATTTGAATGCTATTTCTGACACTTACCAGCTATATCACTGTAAGTTACTGACTACTCTGATATCTAGCAAGAACCTGGTATAAAGTAGACGCTTAAATATCTTCTTACTAAATGACCCTTCTGCATTTCAAGGTCTTCTTTTGTTACACAATGCTAAAAAATTTAACTATCTCAGAGCATCTAGGGGAAGATTAAGTTAAATAACATGCCAAAAAATATCCAGTAGTGCCTGGCAATTAGTTGATGTTTGGTTATTGTTCAACCTGAAATACTAGTCCACTGGGCCAATGTCAGAATTCTATCGTTTTTTGCCTTAGAGCATATGACAGAGAACTTGGCACTGTGGTATGGATAGACTTTAGTAGTGTATTAGTTTCCCAAGGCTGCCATAACAAATAACCACAAACTTGGTAAAGCATAAGAAATTTATCATCTTACAATTTTGTAGGATAGAAATCTATCTCTTATAAAATACTCATCTTTTAATTTAGGGCCCACCTAATCCAGGATAATCTCATTTCAAGATCCTTTAATAATATCTACAAAGATCATTATTCCTACAAAGAATAAGGTCACATTCTTTTTTGAAATATTACAGGTGACATTCAATATTATATTAATTTCAGGTGTGCAGCATAGTGGTTAGACAGACATTTATATACCTTACGAAGTGATACCCCAATAAGTCTAGTACCCATCTGTTACCACACATAGTTAGCATATTGTTATTGACTATATTCCCTATGCTGTACTTCATATTCCCATGACTATTTTGTAACTATTTTGTAACTATTTTGTAACTATTTAGTTAGCATATTGTTATTGACTATATTCCCTATGCTGTACTTCATATTCCCATGACTATTTTGTAACTGTCAATTTGTATTTCTTAACTTCTTCACCTTTTTCACTCAGCCCCTCAACCCCCTTCCAATCTGGCAAACATCAGTTTGTTCTCTATTATCTGAGTCTGTTTCTGTTTTTTCTATTTTGTTTTTTAGATTCCACATATAAGTGAAATTATATGGCATTTTTCTTTCTCTGTGTGACTTATCTCATTCAGCATATACCCTCTAAGTCAATCCATGGTAAGATTTGATAAGATTTATGGTAACAGTTGTCACAAATGGTAAAATTTCACTATTTTTTATGGCTAAGTAATATTTCATTATATACATGTACCATCTCTTCTTTATTCAACTGTCTATTGATGGACACTTAAGTTGCTTCCATATCTTGGTTATAGCAAAAAAAAAAAAAATGCTGCAATGGACATAGAGATGCATATGTCTTTTTGAATTAGTGTTTTGGATTTCTTCAGATAGACATCCAAAAGTAGAATTGCTGAGTCATAAGGTAGTTCTATTTTTAATTTTTTGAGTAATCTCTATGCTCTTTTCCATAGTGACTGTACCAATTTGCAATTCCACCAACAGTGCACAAGGATTCCCTTTTTTCCACATTCATGACACTTGCTGTTTGTTGATTTATAAATGATAGCTATTCTGACAGGTGTGAAGTGATATAGTTCATTGTGGGTTTAATTTGCATTTCTCTGATGATTAGTGATGGTGAGCATCTTTTCATATATCCATTGGCCAACTGTTTGTCCTCTCTGGAGAAATGTCTATTCAAGTCTTCTGCCCATTTTTTAATTAGATTGTTTTTTTTTTTTGGTGGTGTTGTATGAATTTATACATTTTTGGATATTAACCACTTATTGAATGTATCATTGGCGAATATCTTCTCCCATTTGGTAGGTTGTTTTTTCATTTTGCTCATTTCCTTTGCTGTGCAAAAACTTTTTAGTTTGATGTAATCCCATTTGTTTACTTTTTCTGTTTCCCTTCTCCAAGAAGATATATCCAAAAAATATTACTAAGAGCAATGTCAAAGAATTTACTGCCTATGTTTTCTTCTAGGAGTTTTATGGTTTGGGGTCTTCAATTTAAGCCTTTAATCCATTTTGAGTTTATTCTCATATATGGTGTAAGAAAGTGGTCTAGTTTCATTTTTTGCATGTATCTGTCCCGTTTTCCGGACACCATTTACTGAAGAGACTATCTAATCCATTGTATATTCTTGCCTTCTTTGTCATAGATTAATTGACTATGTAGATTTATTTCTGGGTTCTCTATTCCATTTCATTAATCTATGTGTCTGTTTTTATGCCAGTACTATGCTGTTTCGATTACTATAGCCTTTAGTATAGTTTGATATCAGTAAGCATGATACCTTCAATTTTATTCTTTTTAATTCTCAAGATTGCTATGGTTATTTGGAGTCTTTTTGTGGTTCCATGTAAATTTTGATTATTTATTCTAGTTCTGTGAAAAATGTCATTAGTATTTTGATAAGGATTGCACTGAATCTATAGATTGCCTTGGATAGTATGGACATTGTAGCAATGTTAATTCTTTCTATTTATGAGCAAGGTATATGCTTCCATTTATTTGTATCTTCAATTTCTTTCTTTAATGTTTTATAATTTTCTGAGTACAGGTCTTTTTCCTCCTCGATTAAATTTATTTTGAGGTATTTTTTAATGTGATTATAATAGAATCATTTTCCTAATTTTTCTTTCTGACAGTTCATTATCAATGCATAAAAATGCAACCGATTTCTGAATATTGATTTCGTATCCTGCTACTTTACTGAGTTCATTTATTGGTTCTAATTTTTTTTTTTTTTTGGTAGAATCTTTAGAGTTCTCTATATATAGTATCAAGCTATCTGCAACTAAGGACAGTTTTACTTCTTCCTTTCCAATTTGGATGCCTTTTATTTCTTTTTCTTGTCTGATGGCTGTGGCTAGAATTTCCAATACTATGTTGAATGAAAGTGGTGAAAACAGACATTATTGTCTTGTTCCAAATAAGGTTACATTCTGAGGTTCCTGAGGACCTATCTTTTGGGGGCTACTACTCAGCATACTGTAAGTAGATATTATAATCTTTATCTATGCCATCCTTTCTACTTTCCTTCCTATGTTGCACAGCTGATTCTCCTATGTTGTCTAGCCCCATGCTACTCAGAGAGAGTGCACAATGTGACAGAATCACCAATACCTGAGAGTTTGTTAGATATATAATTTATCATGGCCACCCTAGGCCTACTGAATCAGAAACTGGGACTGAGGCCCAGGAATCCGTATTTAAATAAGCTCTTCAGGTGACTTTTAAGCAAACTAAAGTTTTCCAGGGACTTAGAGGTCTAGCCTACATCCATCCACACAAATACAATGCTTTATAAGTGTCATTGATTTTAAAGAAACCAAAGCAAGCATTAATTCTTGTTGAATGTAAAAAAACAAAGATGTATATGTATAGAGTGCATTTGCCATTTACTGGAAAAAAAAATATATATATATACACATATATATTTAGTTATAATTAAGATTGCTGACTACGATGG